AAAGGGGATAGAGTGCTAGGCCTGAACTCAGGAAGACCTTAGTTCAAATCTGGCCTCAGACCTAGCTGTATGACTGCGGACAAGCCTCTTAAAATTCTGTCTGCCTCGGTTCCCTCAGCTGTACTATGGGGAATTCATAATAGCACCTACCTTCCATGATTGCTGTGGGGAATAAATGAGATAATATTTGTGAAGTGCATAGCCCAGTGCCTGGCACATAGGAGGCACTTAATAACTGCTCATTCCTTCCTATGGTGTTTGCCTTGCCTCTCTTGGAAAGGGTGGATATAAGTCAATTGAGGGATGTCTGACTCATCTCATCCTTCACTTCTTTTTCCCTCTCAAGCTCCAGGAAGACGAGCTTCGGGAGGCTGTGTTGCTGGTGTTTGCGAATAAGCAGGACATGCCCAATGCTATGCCTGTGAGCGAGCTGACTGACAAGTTGGGATTGCAGAGCTTGCGTAGCCGGACTGTGAGTGTGTTTCCTTGCCCTCCTTCCTCCCTGGGGCCAAGGACAAGAGGGGATTTTGCAGTAGAACAAAGGGGTGGGATGAGGGAAAGGATAATGCCAGAGAAGGTAAAAGCTGGCATGAGAACTGAAGCTTCCATCTACCACTGTGGAGCCTCTTTCCCTGTGGCTAACATCTGCTTTCTCTCTTACAGTGGTATGTCCAAGCAACTTGCGCTACCCAGGGTACAGGGCTGTATGATGGGCTGGACTGGCTGTCCCATGAGCTGTCAAAGCGTTAACTACCCCAGGGGTAAAATCCCTGCTGGAAGAAAATTCCCAGGTTGTATTTCTTGGACAATTGAACTCTTGAGGACTCCTGAGGCAGCACTCCCTGCTCCTACCTACCCCCCTACCCCTCCTACACACACACACACACACACACACACACACACACACACACACTCACTCACACACACTCACACACTCACACTCACACTCACACACACTCACACACTGTTACAGCTGCTCTTGCCTGCATGTTCTCTCTTACCAGGACCCAAAAGACTAACCCTCTGGGTACTGGGGGGAGCGGGGAAGGGGTTGTCTTCTGACTCCCTGGGAACTGTGGAAGCAGCTGCAGGAACCAAGGCCTTCCAGAAAAGAAACTGGGTTGACTTTTGATTTCATTCTTTTGGGTATACTTCTTTGGGGGTATGTGGGGAGGGGGACCAGACTGGTGCAGTGATTCAGCACTTAATATTGAATAATAAATTTGCTGTGGTTTGTAGCTTTGTCGTTGCCTTCATTTCCAGAATGGGGACTTTCTTTGCAGGGTGCCTTGGGATAGCATTACCTAGGTACCTTGAAGACTTGTTTTGTGAGGAATGCATTTTATAAACCTGAAAGCCTTCTATTCAAGTGAGTCCCTAGTGGCAGTGTTGCCTGGGAGGGTGGTGGGGATGCTGACAGCAAGGAGGCAACTGGTTTGGGAAATGCCATGGGTAAAGGAGGCTGAAACTTTTTTCTCAGCCATCTTGGCTGCTTGGCTCAGCCTCACTTTAATATCTGTGCCTGAGGCTAGACAGAGTAACAGGGACACCACCTTGGAGGCCCTGTTCTGTTTGTGTCACTGGGCCCAAAGGCAATCCTGTCCCTATTTAAGGGACTTAGCTGCCTCTCAGCAGGAGCGCTGGTTGCTCCATCATCTCTGTTATGTTATCTCTCTACTGGAATAGCACATCTTAGAGCCTACAGTATGCTATGCCTTCATGTGTGCTACTGAGTGCTCTCCCCTCTAGGGAAGTCCTCTGGCTGGCAGGGGAAGGAAAAACTCAGTTTAAAGAAGACAATGCTACCACCTCTCCTCCAATACAGCTGATGGTTTTCATCTCCTTTGAACCTCCAGCAAAGAATCAAAGAAACCCCCCACCATTTTTCTTTAAATGGCCTATTTATCTGTTTTGCCACTCCCCCAAATCAGTAAATTTCCCCAGCGCTTCCACTATGTGCTTTGTCTCTTTATGGTTCACATAGCTGCACCTTAATCACCACGGGAGCCCAAATTAGACATATAGAGACCTTTCTTTCCTTAATGGTAGTATTGTGAGAACAACATTTCTGGGGACCAAATGTCTGGACCTTTTACTGCTTTCTTGTCCTTGAGTTGCCCTCTATACCACTGGTTACCAATAATGTAATTATAAAAGACTAGTGTAAGTGGGAGTTTAGGGGGTGGCAGCAGGGGAGGGGGAGGGTGATAACCCTAGTCATTTATGTTTTTGTGTCAGTTTCCTTAGCGTAGTCGTGAATCCTCACATCACTCCTACCTGAAACCCAGTAAAAAAAAAAAAAAAAAAACCAGGCGGCTCTGTCCCCTTTTGCCAAAG